AGAGAGAGAGAGAGAGAGAGAGAGAGAGAGAATTAGGTATAAACGTAAAGAAAAAGATCAGAAAGTAAACTTATACCTCTGTTAATCCAACCATACTGATTTCGGGATGAGTAAAGCATGCTGCTGGGATGCTCAAATGGTTCAGCACATGGTCATTCCCAGAAACTTGCTCAACAACTAAAAGGGCAATGCCAGAAGTTAATTAAGTATTTATAAGTTGATAAAGAAGACCCAATTGCCAAAAATTATTGGGTTTTTTTACCAGAGATTCCCTGAGCACTTGCTGCATGAGCAAGCATCAGTTTCCCATTAGCATCGCCAATGCAATACAAGTGAGGAACCTAATTATAGTCAGAAACATCACAAATGGTAGCAAAATAAAGGAATATAAAACATCATAAACAAGCAAATGAAACTCACGACACGACTTACCAACATTCCATTTGCATCAATTACTCTCATGCGCTCGTCAACAGGGACAAATCCACGTTGTGTTTGTACGTTAATCTGCATAGATAAAAGATAGTTTTCAAATTTTAAAAATTAGTTTCTGTTGTCAGCTAATTCATCATGCCGGACAACATACATTTTCCAGCCCAAGTCCTTGAGTGAATGGAGCCCTTCCAGTTGCAATAAGAGCTGCATCTACCTGAAGGCGGCCATAGCAAATTTAAGACTGTTACATAAAAGGTATGGAGCAAACACTTATCGATAAAATATACAAAGTTAGAGCAGGTTTGGCAACAGTACAACACAAGGCTAATCTTTATTCACAATCAACTTGGTGTAGGCTAGGTATGGCAACGGTGACTATTCAAAATATCAATTATGCTACAGTGCAATAACAATCAAAACATTCCAGAAGAATGGTATTTTATTTCAGGACACATGACTTAACATGTATTGTGCATCACTCTGTTCCTTTTTTCCTGATGACTGCTATGTGTAAATATTATTTCGTTTGAATAAATAGTCAACTATGTGTCAAGCAAATGAGTAGTTTCATCCGTTAAATGATAAGTTTCCTACATCAAGTATTGTGATATACGATCTACAGTCTTAAATGCTTCCCCAGAAAAGACATCTGAAACTTACCTCCACGGTACCCTTTGGTTCTTTTGTCTTTGCATCGATGAGTTCTATTATTACTGGTTTTCCATCCTTTGCCGGAGTGATCTGTAGATAGAAGTTAAACTCACAATGTGCAAATAAGTTGTTAAATATTTGAGTTGATTTTTTGGCAGGCAAGCAACAGGCAGCTGAGTTGCATCAAGTACCTTGCTAGCAAAAACACCAGTATGATAGTCAATCTTGCGAGGATTGATAAGAACTCGTTGAGCTAGTTTTCCAATTTCAGGATCAAAACCAGGCATGAGTTGATCTAAAGCTTCAATAAATGTAACCTGTGAAGTTCAACTGTGATCAGCTTTGAGTCTCATGTATATGCATTTTACCAATAAAATAATGACATAAAATGAGAAGAATTACTTATAATTTATTTTATTTAAATTTGAAGTTCAACTGCAATCAGCTTTGAGTCTCATGTATATGCATTTTACCATAAAAATAATGACATAAAATGAGAACAACTTATAATTTGTTTTATTTAAATTTCAGTGGACATCAGTAATCAAGGAAGCGATTCAAAAATTCCCAAAAAGTATATATAAAAAAACAGAGTGGCAGTTGCCCTTCAGAATTTTCCTTTTTTCACTCTATTTCTTTCTTCCAGTTCTCTCTCTCTCTCTTCCCTTCTCTTTATTTTCCCCTTCCTTCCTACCTTCTTCTCGGTCCCATTTTAAGAAATTTTTTTGAAGAGGAAAGTAATATGATGACCTTTGAAGAGCAGGATCTGAGTAGCTACTGCATTGATGCCAATAAGATTCTTTATTTTGGGATGTTACATTTAGTGATTTACATGATTAATCTATAAGCATGCTACCTATTAAAGTTCTTGAACTTGGATGCTAATAAAACTGTGTATATAACTTGTAAGTATGCTAGCTGCTAAGTAAACAAGTTTAGATTTCACCATAGTATTTCATCAAGAGAAATTTGCATTCAAATCCTTGTACCTAATTTCATATTTAAATGACAAGTCTTTATTGGCAAATTCTATCAATTGTTGCTAGAATTGGTATAAATTATTGAGGAGACTGGAAAGATTAACTAAGTTATGCAATAAGGTGTAAATATTGCAAATAACTTCATCCAACTGTTCAATAGTAGTAATAATATCTTATTATTAAGTAGTTGTTGTTTACAAAATCATGTAATATCTCTTCAAATAATTTTCATAACACTTCCTTTCAATATCACAAAATAAATATTTAGTTTATATATTTTTTTACAAAGTAATTTCCTGATCCTATTTAAATACTTACTTTGCCATTAAAATATTTTTTTAAGAAAAAAAAACAATATTATCATGAATCAAGTTAATATCTTTTCTGTAGATGTGATAATATATATCTGTTTAGTTTCACTGAATTTATTATGTTGATTATACATTTATAGTTCATTGGTATTGTAAATCTTCTGTAGTTCAACTAAATATACAGTTAAAGTTCCACCATCTTTTAAGTTATTTTTATATAAAATATAGCATGCAACAAAATCGAAATTAAGAGAAAAAGAGTGATGGAAAGTAAGGACAACTCTGATTTCTATATGGTCATTTTACTCTAGAGAAAATACGAAATATCAAATGGTGAATCATGATAATATCTGCAGGTAATATTATCTTACAAAAAATACAGTAACAGTATAAAATGTCACACCTCACTTCCAAGTGCTGTATAGACATCACTGAATTCAAGCCCAATGTAACCACTTCCTACAATAGCTATCCACTCCGGAACAAATTCCAGTTTAAGAGCATGATCGCTGGTTATTACAGACTTACCTGCAGCCATGCATCAATAGTTTATGCTCTGCACCTCAGCCATGCAAAGTGATGTATAAAGCAATCAATGAAACTGTACAAAGTCAAAATCGATGCCAAAAGGCTCTTTTGTCTCAGTTACTCAAACAATAAATGTTCTACAGATAATGGTTCCCAATTTTTTCTGTCCTCTATCATGACATTAAAAAAAAAAAAAAAAAAGCACACTTTAAGGTGATTAATTCATTTTTAGATTAAATACTTGTTATAACATACAACAGTCTGATCCAAAATTTTCCTCAACATCATAGATTTATAGAACCTCACTCAATAAATGCAGTGATAAGTCTAGAGCATGGGGAAGCCCATGAGGAAATTACATGATGATTACGTTGGGCCCTACAGAATCGTGTTCTAATTTTGAGTACAAAATTTTTAGGCACATGCATGGGTAGTAATATTGGATAATCACAATTTCTGTTCTTACATGTCAATGACACCAGGGCATTTTATTTCAATAGAAACCTTGGCATTTTTTACTGTATAGTAACATAAGAATCCTCCCCCCCTCCCCAATCTCTATATCGCTCTCCCTTCCCTTTCCAACTGCGCCCCACAAAAAATAATTAATTTGTTGAGACAGTACTAGAATAAAGGAAAATACAAAGCCACTAAGAATTCTCCATCCCCCCCCCCCCCCCCCA